TATATATATATATATATATATATATATATATATATATATATTGTGTACATTTATTACACTAGAGGCGCGTACGCATTATCGTGCTATTTTAGCTGTTTTATATATTTTTTTCACATTTTTTATTTTATTAATATTTGATAATTAAATGAGCATTAAATGAGCCGTGCACTTTTGGATTTTCCAAACTTTTTTTTTTATTTAAGAGAAACTGTCGAAGAAGTGGATAGAAGACAATCTCCATCACATTCATTAGTGAATGAAACTTTTCAAAGTGATGATAACGATGACATTGTACCCAATTCCGATGATGAGACCATAAGGAGGTACGAAAGTCACAATCGTGCAAAAAGACAGTGGAATGATGATAACGATGACATTGTACACAATTCCCATGATGAAACCATAAGGAGGTACGAAAGTCATAATAGCGCAAAAAGACAGTGGAATGATCGAGTGGATACATCCAGTAGTCAAAGTTGTGAGGATGCACATAAAACTAATAAAAGAAGGAAAATAGTGCGGTCAGTCACCTTAAGTTCTACAAGTGATGTTGATCTGACTAACGATGGCGAGGATCAACCAAGAAGATCTGAAGAACCATTAGAAAAATCTGAGCATTTAAATAAAAAAAAAACAATGATTGTAATGAATAGAACGACATATCTATGTTCTCCACCTACATCCGATGATGAATCCGCAGAAGACACAAACACTGATAAAGTCCGTCCAAAAAAAAAGTCAATGAGAAATAAGAATTTACGAAATAAGGCTCCTAATGAAATCATCGGGTCGAAAGGAAATACAAATAAAGAGCTACAACAACAAACGGCTCCAGATAAAACTAAGTGTAATACACAAGAGACACATCGGAACAATGTTGAATTTAATACCGATACAAATTTCCCTGGTACTTTAGATGATCGCGTTGATAATCCTAACACTTCATCAGAAGCTGAACTGATTAACCCAATTCATGCAAAGTGGTTAGATGATCATCGAAGTAGGATAGAAGAGTTTAAGAATTTCCAAGGGTTTGTTAATTTATTTAAAATATGCAATTGATCTATCAAATATTATGCTGTAAAGTTTCGATTTCTTTTTAGTCGTAAAGGTGATTACTATTCGAAGTCGGAAGAAATCGGAATATTTTGGTGGTTGATAAAGAACGATAAAATTGACCAAGTAGGAAGCGAGGGGACTTTTAAACAGTTGATTGAGGATGGTGTAAGTTTAATAACAATATAGAATATATGAAAAATAAATACATATTTTTCTTTAAATAATTGAATATAGTCATAAAAATTCAAAAAACTTAATTTATTAAATTAATTATTCCCAAAAACCATCTGAAGCCATAAAAAGCATAAAATCAAGTTTAAACCTTTCAAAAAATATTAAATATAACCAAATTAATCAACTTTATCATACAAATACGACAGTAACATAATATATTTTCTACTTCCATTAGTATAAAATTTTGTTATAATTTTAAAATAATTTAATGAAATTTTTTTCAGTATCTAACTCATCGGTCCTGGAAAGGAATATACAACCATTTTCGTAGACAAATGCTCAGTAGACTCCCGGCATTTAAATTACCCGATGATGTATACAAAAAATTAAAACTTTACGTTAATGGCTTACAATCGATATAATCGGATAATAATAAAAAAAACTTTTAAAATAATAAATTAAATTAATTAAAATTACAGACTTTTAAAAAATAATGCAAGATTTAGGAATGAAATAAACAAAGTATTGATTGATATAATTACTTCTATTTTTTAACACTTTTGTACATTTTATCTTAGTTGAATAAAAAAAAAATAGATAAAACACAACACGTTATTTTATAATCCTGAATAATAAATTCAGTTGTCAAAATTAATACAAAGGTAGTTTTATTTTCAGCGGGTGTTGCAATGAGAATAATGAATTTGATGAGTAGAAAGGACGGATAGTGCGGATGCCTCTTATATAACTGAGTTTGAATTCAACTCCGTCTCGTTTGATTAAAATCTTATATCATGTTACAAATGTATGTACGTACGTACATATCCATATACATAATAAGTTTATACATATATTTACGTATAGATATTCGTTCATTTTTAAATACAAATGCTCACTCATTTTTATTACATCACAAAATAAATTAACACTACGAATAAATAATTATAAGATAGATTTGTACAAAAAATATATAATATACATAAACAAAAATAATTTATAAATTAATAATAGTAATAATAATCACCATAAGAATAGTATTATTATTATTATAATTATTTTTTATCATTAATACTATTGACATTAAGTAATTCGTCATTAACTTGATGAGACGCCGCCAATTCTTTTTTATTACGAAATTTACGCTTTGCATTACGTTTATATATTAAGAAAAGTACTATTAATGCAATAATGATGACAATAAAACACGAAGACACAACAATCCACGTAGTACGGGTCCTAACCATTTGATTGTGCATTACAATATTATTTTTACAATTATCATATGCTCTTAGCGTTTCATTAGAGATCAATTGTTCCAGTGGCTGTGTTACAGAACATTTATCAGTATTGCTGGTACTACTGTCGCAGATAATTTTTTGCGGTAAAATTTTTATTTTACGGAATTTAATCCACGCATTTAATTTCAAGCACTCGCAGGAATCATCAAACGTGAGGCGATTCTTCGAAAGGTCGAGAGTGTGCAGAGAACAAAATGCACTAACGTCAGAAGCTTTTATAGTTGATATTGAATTTGCAGACACATTGAGCTCTTTTAGTTGAGTAAAAGCACGCGCCGGAGGTAATTTAGTCAATAAATTTTTCGATAAATCCAACAGCTCAACAGTCGAATCTTCTAATGATGATATTGGTTCTAGAGCGTCATCCTCAAGTTTATTATCACTCAAATATAAACTTCTCAGTTGAGGTAGTGACAAAACATTTTTTGGAAATCCAGTTATTGCATTTGTCGTTAGATCTAACACTTGAAGGTTTTGTAGTTTTATAAATGCACCGTCTTCTATACTACTGATAAAATTATCCACAAAATAAACGTACGACAAACTTGTGTATGGCAAAAGTGTATTATTATTTAATTCTCTCAATCGATTACCGGAAAATTCGAGGTCCTGAAAAATTAATGTAAACATAATTATTATTAAGCTTTATATTGAATAATTAACTGTATTGTGTTTAAGAACAGATTTATAAAACTACTAGACGCTATAACTCGTGACCTCTTGAGCTGTGAGTAATCTCCGTATTGATTAAATTAAATATTAACTTGCATTTAAATTTACTTCATAAACTTACGAGACTTTACTTGATCTTTTGGATTATTAGTTTCTTATACAGTTAACTTAAATTTAATTATTTAGAAAGTTGTTTTGCTAGAGACTGAAAGATTTAAATTTTGAAGAACAATTTGCTAAGTTTCTTTCTATCAAAAATTTTATTTATATTAATGGTGGTTATTTATAAAATCCATTAAAATATAAAGTTTATTCAAATAAAATAAAAAGAAATATTATTTTTAGTACAAACCTGAATATTCGACTGAAGATTTGGGGGAATTTGTTTGAGATTTAGATCAGCACACATGGCTTGTATCATACCAAACACTTTGCGGTGCCGACATTTTTTTACAGAAGGATCACGATCTGTTATCGTTGGGCCGTAGAAGAAGCCACCGTTATCGGGTGCTGCAGACGTTTGTGAAATCGTCAATATAAAATAAACGTATATAAATGAAGATATTATTGATGCCATATCCGCCCCTTATTATCTATAACAAACAATATAAATTTTCTATTAATAATAATTGTGATTATAAAAATCATGAGAGTGATATAAATAATAAAAAAGACCGAGGGGAATTTGTAAATAAACTAAAAAAGCAACAAGAAGAAAACTGGCCGTACCGGTGAACCTTGGAGCACTCACTTATGTGTGCTTCAAAAATAGGATTTATCGTACAAGTTGAGACGACTTTCAAGAGCAACACAGACTATGGCTTAAGTTTATCCTCAGGAAACAAATAATATAAAAGAAATGATAAAAAACGAAATGGGAAACGAAAAAAAAATAATAATGCTCCAAGTAGTATAAAGTGTTAAAATTATTTTAAAAATGTCACGTAATGCGGATAAGTCATTTTTAAACTCTATGCAAAGATAACAATAATTGTTTATCGATAAACTTTGTATTACGATTTTTTCGCTCTAAGCCTGACACATTTTCTTTATTAGTCACACCTATTTTGTAAAGACTTGCTGTGTTTTAAATGACTAATCACTCAAACTTCACTCACATACACATCATATTGTACACACCTAGGTAAAGTAGTTTCATATTATCTAGCTTAGGACAAAGTTATCGTTTATGACAAAGCATACTCGGCCTACGCTATTGAAAATCCCTTAAAAATGAAAGGTCATTTTTTTCGACTACTTTTATTGTAGCTTTCAAATGTTTCGACAGAAACTTTTAATGATCGCTCATTTATCATATTTTTTTTCTATTTATAGTATTTTATCAACAACAGATTTCTATGAATAATATTTCATTACATAACTTGGGGGGGGGGGGGAAGAAAAATATCCGGGATCTTATATGTATGACAACGGGCAGTTAATTGGTGAATTTATAACAATGCGCTATTTCAGGAAACGGACAAGTTGTTAATTTATTCATGATTTTCACACTCAGGCGTACTTTCAACCAGAGCTCAATTAAAAATATAACAAGGACATTTGTCTTAAAAGAAGGTTTATGATTAAAAAATAACAGTTCTCAACTTCACTAATTAAAATTGAGAAAATAAATTTAACAAATTATTTTTTTAAATAGCAATGTATGCTACTCCGAGTTTGTAAGAGCCACTTTGATGTTTCAAACAGCGATTTTTACATTCTATAATAGTGACTAGTATACTACTAAAAAAATTTGAGTAAAAATAATTATGTCTAGAAAACTAAAAGTTGAAACGTTTAAATTTTCGGAGTATTCTACATTTTTTATTCGAAAAGATTAAAAATCAATCAAGATTTTTCTCCTAATTTTAATTTTCCATCAAAAATTAAATAATGGACTCTTTAAGTTTTTCATTAAATTTTAATTACTTTTAAGAATTATAATTTTTTAAAAACCATTAAAATTTTAAATGCCCAAGCTTTTAATACCGAGGGAAAAATAAATTATTAAGATTTAACTATTGACGTGAAAATACATAAATAGGCGAAGAAAATAAGATGTCATTTAAACTGAAAGTGTTATCATTAGACGTCACTGAGAAAATAATCTTCGAAGAAGATTAGATACACCATTGACGATAAGACAACTAATGACCTACTCAATCAAAGATGTCATCATGTCATCTAAAAAAATCATAAAAATATAAACTTAAAAAAAACCAAAAGTGTATAATGACATCGCTTAAAACATATTCCGGCTGCTATTATACTTAAACATGCGGTACGTTGGGCATATACAAACTACACTCGTATAAATACCGTGTGTATATACAGTAGTACATCAGTATATACATAAATAAACTCCGAAACATTTAAATATTATTACAACGTCGATTTATATAGTACGCACATCGTACAAATGAGTTATTTCGACTGTCTGGAGTAGTCTATAACATAAAACAATCCTCGATTCGATCTTTCATGAATCATTCCACGTACACCTGTTATACATCAACCTTAACAACATCCACCCATATATTTATGTACTGCAATATGTGTAAGAAGCTTATTGTTTATTGTTAGTTATATCAATATCAATAAAACTATCAATCAATCACTTGAAAATAGTGCCATAAATCCATTTGAATTAACAGATAATTCATATTAAATATTTAACAAGCCAATTATGTATGTAATTTGAATTATTGATCGTATTTGAACAACATTTGTTATTATTAGCATATATTTAGCCTCAAGTGGATTACCAAGGCAACATTGATTAATATTGTTAGTTATCCATGTTGGATTCAAGATATTTAAAGTTTGAGTTTCTAAATTGACGAGTAACAGATATCTGCAATTTATAAATCATAACACAATTAAAAAAAAAAATAGAACACTCGGCTATTAAAGTTTTATAAATACCTTAGCTTCCGACATTTAAAACAAACATATTTCTAGAACAGATTGAAAAATGGAAAAATGAGTCAAAAGATTTTGTTTTTAATATAGGTATTTCATTATATGAGGCTTGCCGTCACGTAAAATTAGTCACACGTATGATGTAAAGTATGAAGAAAAAAAAAACCCATACGGATTTTTCCGAATCTTAATGCTGAGAAGTGATTATATAGTTATCTGAATAACTGTTTATATATTTATATGCGTGCTTATATATCAATTCACATTTGTTTAGATTTTAAAATGGAGCCACGTGTTTAAAACCGAATACATATCTCGAGAGCTACTGCAATAGATTTAAAAAGATTATAATACACAGATGCGGTAAGCCTCTGATCTCCCTGAAATATTTAATTCTAAATCTTCATCATCATGCTAATCTATTGCAACACGTACTAATAAAATAAACATTTAAATAAATACAACAAACTAGTTCTTCTTTATACACTTGATTAAAATCAACTTACCAAGCAACTTTTTTTCTATACCTTCTTTTTATAAACATAATATATATTTTTTGTACTTATAATATAATTCATGGCATGGAAAAAATTTAAAATATATATATATATATATACATGTATATAGAGGAAATTTTTATCTTAACATCTGGTCTGCACTCCAATATCCTTACCAACACATATAAATTCAAATCCACACGCACAACAAAATATAACACACGTCACTAACGAGATAGCCAGCACGTAAGCTACAAACAAAGAGGAGTTGCAATTAATTTTTCACCCTGATCATAATCAACTCACCTTTATACTTGTATTTTTTATATTTTTATCGATACGCAGCATAAAATATTATAAACAATTTCATTATTTATAATTTTCGCCTCAGGAAATTTCATCATACAGGCGTCAGTTTCAAAATCTCCAGCGAGTCCTTCACCATCACTCAAAAAAATCTCAAGGAATCGTCGCAATAATTCACCACCACCGGTACCAATATTGTTGATACTGATAATTATAAAATAATAAAACTGAAACAAACAAAATCATGAATTATTTAACAAGGTAAACAACGGACACACGTAACACCTAAGTTATTTTTTAAAGAGTAAAGATTTCATTACTATTCTTGCAGGCTCCAAAGACTGACGCGGCACAACGCCGGCAAAGCCTTCGAATCTCTTTTTCTCCCACCCTCGTTTCGTATGACTCCACTTCTCTATCTGGTACTACTACTACACCATACCCATACCGTATAGTACTACCTACAGCACAAAACTCTCCAGTTAAGTAAAGTGAAGCGTTGAGCGTTGGGTAGGAAGGAATATAACAGTACAATAGCTCCCAGCCGACAAGCAAGCACCGCGACTGGAACAGAATACTACGCTCTAAACTCGAAAGTGTACGGTAGGAATGCCAGTACCAGGCAACGGACACAACACTCAACAGCGACACAGTTAATATAAGCGGCACGCAGCAGCCCGATGCGATTGCCGGTCGACGGTGCCCGGTGGAGCTCCTACACGTAATATTCCACTCATATCACTAAGGGTTGCAATTTTACTTGTAGTGGATCAAGTCACGTGCCTGTTGTTCTTGTCTAAGTGTTGGTGAGTATATATACATACATAAACACTAATAGATGATGATGATGATGTAAGTAAGTACTGAAGGGAAGAAGGAACCCTCTTTTATTTTTTTCTATTCTACTTTACTATACCATTTTTTAGTTTTCGTTGTATTAATCCACCTGGAACTTCCCATTCTAGGGTCTGCTGATACGCTGAATACCAGGGGAAACGGATTCCCGCCTTTGTTGTCCTTCAGCCAGCACTTCCTATTGGTTGGAAAAAAGTTATGCTTCTATTCTACGATCCATGCCGATCACTCCCGAGACTCACGAGCCAAGAACTCGTGCTCCATTGTCCTACATTGTTATGTATTATGTCCTACCATACACCACCATCATAGCACCAGTATAACATCAGCTTACTCCTACACTTCATTTATATCCTTTTATTTGTATACAAACACATTAATATATACTAATGTTAGGATTTCATGTATAGATGGAATTGATTCAGTTGTGCATGTATTTGTAAGTGGAAGAGATATTATACAGTCCTATAACCAATATAGAAAGGACCACATCCGACGTCTATTCCAGGAATAGACAGTAAAATACTGCGTCATTGGTGATATTGAACGGATGCTATTGAATTCTTAGAAAAAACAACGCAAAAAATATTGCGTTCTTATGTTTTGATTTTAAAAGCCTAGTATTTGTATTTTGTCTACTTAATTGGGGTAATTTTATGTTGTAGCTATAAGAAAGTAGTTGATGATGTTTAAGTGCTGTATTAATGGTTCAAAAGCATGTAAACTGGAACTGCTTGATATGCATACGCTGTAGTAACCCTTGGGTAATAATTTAAATAATAATTGCAGTGAAAATCTTAGATTACAAGTAGGTCAATTGCTGATTCTTTTATACGTATATAAATGCTACAACGTGTCGCTTTTTCGTTTAATTATTCACTTATTGTAATTTCTTTACTACAGGAATTAAATTGCGAGACTTGAGACTAGTTTAGAGCTTTTTTATTAAAAGCAATTAGCAATATTATAATGACACTGAAGTTAGCAGACGTCTAAAAATTTTTGATTTTTTTTTTTAATTAAATTACAACTAAAAAGATATTTTTAAAAAATTGCACATTTAGTTTTTCAAGTTTTTTACATGTGAAATTTTTTTTTAATTGTTTAATTGAAATTTTTTCAATAAAAAATTTTCTAAAAATTTTGAAGTGTCAGCTAACTTCATTTTCAAATATTATTATATCATTTATTCTTATTTTTTCATAAAAATTTTGGTTGGAGGAAGAAATTTTAAGTAATTTGATTGGTAAATTTATTTAATAATCACATTCGAAAAAAAAAACATTGGTTGGAATTCTATTCTTTTAAATAATCTATTATGATTTTTTTTTCTTCTCAATGATTGATAAATATATATAAGTTTATCAGAAAAACTTGACCTTTTGTGCGACATACATATATAATTCAATTTGAACTGAAATTGAAAGCGAGAAATGTAAGACGACATTTAATACTAATGTATGCTTTTTTGCTGATCTCAGTTATAATATTGAAAGATTAAAATTTATATGATCCCATCGAATTACGATTGCAATATTTATTATGTTTCATTCATGCTCATACTATTATCTCTTCTCAGTATTTTTTCCCAGCAGTTATATAATTTCGAAGAATTATCAGTGCTTATGAAAAATTCAAATATTTAACTTTAGACAGGTGGAACCATCAATAAATTAAATTCTTTCATTAAAAATTCATCAAATATTGCATAATGTACTACGAATAAATTCTTTATACTCATTTGTAATTTCGATATCGATTAGAAAAGATACCTATCGATAAAATAAATATCGATTGGTAGGTTACCGACAGTCTCGAAGCTCAATTCTTTTTTCCCTAGGTGGCGACACAATCTGGTTGTTCAACTACCAGCAATCTATACCAGATAATTAAATTAATTATCATTTAGATTAGAAAAATTAACCTTGGTGTAATGACACGGTTAGTTTATTAATTTAATGGTGATTTTTTTTGTGTCTGATAATTAAAAAATTAAATATTTTTATGATACTAAAATTAACCGACGTTCAACAATTTTTTGATTATTTTTCATCTATAAAATTAGAAATGAAAATTAAGTTAGCCGACATTTAAAAATTTTTATAATTTTTTTTTATTGAAAAAATCATTACAAAAAAATAAAAAAAAAAATTACACGTCTAAAAAACTTCAAAAACTGTAAGTGCAATTTTAAAAAAAAAAATTTTTTGTTCTAATTTGAATTAAAAAAAAAGCTTAATTTATTAATTAGAATTAAAAAATATTTTTTTAAAAATTGCACTTATAGTTTTCAAGTTTTTTTTACAAGTGAAATTTTTTTTTTATGATTTTTTCAATAAAAAAAAAATTCTAAAAATTTTTAGATGTCGGCTAACTGAATTTTTAAATAATTTTTGCAGAAACATGAAGATAAATTTAAAAACTAAGAGTTCCGCACCTGGACGAATTTGTATGAAAAAATCTGATTGGCTGAAGCTGAGTAATCATCATACTCCGCGGGTTACAAGAATCAGACAAGTCCGTACACGCTAACACACCGGTTTCGACAGTTGCTAGCCACGCTATACTCACCCGGCGTTGCTTTTGTCAGTGAGTTATACTTTGGTTTCAGTTGCACGTCAACGTTCACTCAGTGAAGTACTGCAGTCAGCCAATGTTATTTTTCGCGATATAATATTTCAACTAGGTAACACTTATTATTTTATTTATTTTTGTTCGCCGTCAATAAAAATTATAATTATTATAATAAAACATTTAAAAATTGTTAGTGTCGTTGGTGTTTCGTGTTATAATTAAGCAAATCAATGTAATAATTAGTTGTAATTATAAATATTAACTTGTCTTCCTTGCATGCAAAATTAAATTACAGAAGATTTAATCGACAAGGGTTAAGTGTGCTGACAAAGAACAATAACAAAATTATTGTTTCCGGAGTCTTGATAATATTTAAAAGTGTCAGTGAAGATTATTTAAAAGGCTTGAAGTGAAGACTACATATCGCGTGTGCAAACAAGCGACGATCAACGACCACGACGGTGTCACGGCAAATAGACAAACATTGAGTATATCTTAGTTATAAGCTTAAACCAAGTAAACATAAGAAAGTCGTGATCCTGCGAAAAAAAAATCATTTTTAGAATTCAGAGGATGTTTGCCGCCTAAAATAAAAATGTCTGTCAAATATTATACTTAATAATTATTACTGTCAAATATTTACGGTGGAAGACAAATATAGTATTAAGTTTTTAATATTATTATTAAATAAAATAGAAAGAAGAAAATTCAAGAATGACAAGTAGAAGAATTTCACCGTGGTGCATTAAAACTTTAATCGTGGTGTTTAGTATAGTTGCAATAGTCATTGGCGGACCTCCACCTTCACGTGACGATGAACTCGAAGACTACTGCTCAGCGCACAAGTTCGATAAATTGCCGGGTGGTCTCAGATTCACTAAAGAAGTTGTTACCACCGAGTATGCTAATATAGGAGCATTTAAAGCAATACACTGTTGTTTACGTGGTTACAGGAGCATTGAATGGTAAGTAATGAGTAATCATTTTTATTTTATGGCTATATTTAACTTTTTTAATACTTGCGCAACTGTATTGTATTATAGGTATGAATATACATATACCTATAATTATGATGATGCTGGTGGTGATAATAATAATAATAACAACAACAAAAACAATAATAATGACAATAGTTATTTGCCAGAGTACCGAGTTTTTTTTTTATACTTTTTTGCAATAGTCGACAAGTAGCTCAACTCTTGAGCTAATGAGTCATCGCACCGACACCTGATGCTATTTCTTCTCATGCACTTAAATTTATTTATCAATTACATCAGTAGCTCTCTCTATAAATATCCATATATATATATATATATATATATAGGAATGTATAGTATTAAAAAAATTTTGTTAGAGACAAAAAAAATACCTGTTCGTACGTGCCTAAAAACCGTGGAAAAATCCGTAAAATGTTTTATGAAATGAAATGGATATTTTTCGGAGAATTTTAATACCGGTGAGAAGTACCTGGGCGAATCGCGTCAAAGGTTGTGTCAAGAGAGCAACGTATTGTCAAGTTAAAATCTCTGCGGGAGTTCTTGAGTAGACCCGACCGCAATGCCTCGGGAATGAACCAGAATGAAAAAGACCGTGTGACACTGCGTATGTGTGTTTGTGTGTGGGTTACTGTATCTCTGAGATCCAAGCAGAGCGACTGTCCTGTACCACGTACCGCTGTGTGTGGTAAGAGAAGTCTGGTATAACTTAGATGAGATGGGAAAAAGAGTATGAGTAAGCGAGAAAGAATTGGATTTGAAAACCCCTGCCAGGATAGTCGGAAAGTCCATCAGAACAAAGAGAATCGCTCGAGCTGATTCGTGGTAGTAAGATTCCTTTTTACACGCTTTTTATTAGCTTCACTTGTATTTCTTTCTAGCTTTACCGTATAATATTATATGTATATGTATATATTATATACCAGTACATATATATATATTTATATGTGTATATATATATATATATATATATATATATATATATATTTACTTCTCATTGACTCCCTTTCTATTCTCTCAAGACGCCTGTCCTTGTAAAAAATTTTTTAAAGCTCCGGTACCAGACAAATCTTATTGTATTAACTCGTCTAAAACGGACAATTCTGTTAGCTTTGTCTAATATCCTGTTGTCTAGACCTATCTTACATTAATCCAAGTGTTTAAAGAAGAAAGCCAGATATTTGACATTTTTTTAGGGTTTCTTGAACAGATAAATTACTGGAGAGAAAATATTAAAAAAAATTTTACCTTTTTTTTTTTAATTTACTTGGTAATTTATTTATTAAAAATGTTCAGGTGTCTGCTGATTTCAGTATCATTATTACATGCAATTTCGCGTTTAGATGTAATTTAAAATCAAGATATTAAAATATCCAGCTAAGCGGTTAGATCTTAACCATCTCAAGACTTAATTTTAATAAAAGATCTTGGAGATTTGAAACCAGACCTTTTATTTGAAAAAATATTTCTACCTACGGTATGGAATGGTCAATGCCGGTGGCATGCGGGATAAATAAATGGCACGATTCAATTTCTATGCTGGGAAGAACCTCGGGCTCATACTCTCAACGAATTGACTAAATGTAGAGTCTATATACCACATACCATATATAATACTACTTGTATCAGAGAAGAGAATAGAAGGGTGGGAAGAGGAATCCCCGACACCTGTTACACGTCTATATCTACCCTGAAGGGTCATATCGGCTTGTACTACGCCAGCAAAGATGCCTCGTTATCTAAACGAAAAATCACCGTCTCTCTCTTTCTCCTTTTCTTTCTCATTCTGGTTTTAGCGGTTCAACAATGTTACGATCTTGTTATATGTGTGCTACAGCATGTTCCGATAGACAGATGAACATAAAGATACAAACCCGATATAAATATTTTATTTTATTTTATTTTATTTTATTTTATCAATTTCGTGATTGTCTTTTGTATTTGTAATTTGTAAATGCGGTATGCTGTTATTATAAATAAATATATACATATATGGTTTATGGATTTAATATAGATGCGACTCGAAAGGTCCCCTATCATCGTAATGATACTGGCGTGTCCAGCGACGGGTACAAAATAATGAAAAAAATACGTACATAATAATAACGAAAGGAAAAGGATAAAATAACGAGGAAAAAAAAAAGATCCATTTCATGTTATAAAATAAAACTCGACAATTTGAAATAATAGTGTAACGATAATGACTTCGAGGAAAAGTTATTTTCCAACTCTATATATCGTGTCCGCAAATATGTATTATGTATGTTTTTAGTTTATTACATACATTTATACACGTATACATGCATAATATTTAAAAATTAAGAGCTGTGAGTGTGAGAATAATTAAAAAAAAATTGATGGTTTAAAAGGAAATTACGTGCTTGTAAAAAAAACATAAGATTGATAGTTAGATATAACATTGTTTGTGTGATGTAATGACGGATTTTAAAAAGAAAATAATTAACGAAATAAAATTGTTAGTAGCAGGTATTTAAATAAAATGCCAAAACTTTAAATGATCTTATATCGCATGATTAGACACATGAAACTAAACAAGTAGTTAGGAAGAAGGCTCGTTAAAGAACGTGAGTCACTCACATGTGATGTAACATGTGTTGGAGAAAACCGCGCACAAGATCTCTAACAAGTTTAAAGACATCTAAATCTATTATATATATATGATAGTAAACTACTCAAAGAGTTTTTTTATTTTATATTATTGTGTTTCAAGTCATCCGTACGGGGTTTATTATACACATATATGTAAAAATAATACAAACACAAATAGACTACAAGAAAAATGATGCGACAAAGGAAGAGTTGTGTTTGTTTTATTTAAGATATGTCGATTGTGTCCAAAAGAGTTTGTAATGTTGAGTAAAGAACGAGGTTTTTCGACCTGTAGACCGGTTCGAATCCCGAAGTTTTTGTTTCCTGACGAATTCTCCGGTCTCCTCAACATCTTTTTTTCAAGAGTTTTATGTACGTGAATTCGCATTTTAAACTAATTTATAACTAAATAATATACTGATGAATAAAAGGATAAAAACCCGGGCAACAATTGAGTCATAAATTATTTTGTTATAAAAGAGCGATACGATGTAAATGATGAATCTTAAATCCTATCCGTTAGTGTGTGTGGTTAAAAAAAGTTTAAAAAATAAAAGGAAAAAAAAAAACTAATACCGGAATACGTGTTTCCGCTGGACAATTTGCTACGTACGTTTACATGTTAATGCTCTGACTGACTCTGGCTCAACCCTTTCTTTTTCAGTGATATGTGAGTATGTGTGTAAAATAAAAGCGTCGTGTCGCATGTGCAAACCCCTCGATCACAGTCTAAAGTCATTGTTTTATTGCGAAAAACAACGTCTAGTCTTATAGTTTAACGTGTTACATACTAATATCTGCATATGCATATTACATATACATGAGCTAAGCGCTAAAGTTTGCAGTAATGTAAAATTAGCAATAGGACGATGACAATGCAATCGACATTGACAATTTTAATATGCAAGCAATCGTTTATATTTGTCGTTCTCTATCAGTTTTATAGCTATTTATATTTGTATTGTTCAGTTGTATATAATGGTGAAGAAGAAAAGAATGAGAAGGTGATGATGTTGATGACAGTGGTGTTGGTGGTGGATACTTATTAGGAAATCCAACGATCGCATTTTTGCCGGATCGAACGTCGATGTTCGATTCGCGGAACTCTTGAAGGCAAGGTGCGCATGCGTTGTCGCCTCACCACCACCACCACCACCTCCTCCTCCTCCTCCTCCTCCTCCTTCACTTATTGTGAATTCTCGTGCCCTTTGTGTGACTCTGATGTGTGAGTAAGTAGTTGCAGTTAGCGAGCAGACTTATTTATGTTTTCTTGATCGCATTACCGGCGTTCTATTCAGCAAAATAAACTCTATTGTCTTTTTGTTTTAGGTGGCATACTGCCGGTACTTGTGGGATTTTAAATTATTTTTTTTTTAGTCACGTTAAACCTCTTGACCTCTTAATCTTGCTTCAATGATTTTGGTTGGTAGTTGTAGGTCTAATCTAGAGATGAGTTGTTTAGTCTAGACCTAACCGTCCAGTTTAGTTCCAGGTTTTAATCCAGATCCAGACACAGTTCGCCCACTGAACTGTAAATAAATAAAACGACAAAATAATTTTTAAAAAGCAAGACTCGTTTTTAAAAAGTTGATTTTCCCATTTAGGTGCTTGGAGATCCAATTCAAACGGTAATCGCAGAGACAAGTCCAGGGCGATTTGTAAAAAATTGATAAATAAAAACCGAGAAAATAAGAGTCCGCAAAAAATCAGTTAACGGAGAAGATTATTCCCGTTAACATTTAAGTTGTTATTTTGTTTATTTATATGTTTAGTTTTTTTTTTTTTTTTTTCTTTCGAGTGTTACACTTATTGTCATTTATGTTGTGAGTAGTTAGCCGGTAGTTTTAGTTGTGTTTTTATTGATTTGTTAAATTTTTTTTCTAAGCGTATGTGATTATGTCAACTTTTGCGAAATGATGTTCTATACTGATGTCGATAAATGTAATGTAATGAGAAAATGGCGCGAGCATGCACGCAACAAGATTTCCTAGAAGTCTGTAATAAGGCCTGTTGTGAGTGCGAGAAAGTATGAAATACCTGAACGTCGCTAACAAGTAAAAAATATAGATTAAAAGAGTAGACGGAAATGCCGAGCTAAAGAGTTCTATAGTAGCAGTATAGTAGTAGTTCATCCTTCACGTATCACGTGAGTTTAGTTTATTTTATTTTATTTTGTCCTTCGAATCCTTTCTAATCTCCTTTTTTACCTTATTTTTAGGGTCCTTTATTTTTTATCGTAAATCGTCGAATGGACCAGACGCAAATTAGCAAGACCGATAACATCAGGAAGAACTTGTTCACAAAGAAATCAAATCGATGGTCCTCGAGCTGCCTTTATATGTCCAGATACAGATATATACTACTATACTTACTACCTATATATAAATGAAAGGATTTATATTGCTATCGAGAGTATAAGAGCTGAGTACAAGAGTAGTCAAGAGGCGGATGATATTGAAGGAAGTCAAAGGAGAGTTGAGTTAGTCTTCCAAGTAATCCGCGAGGAAGAGCAGAGCTCTGTGACTTCTCACGCAGGGACCAATTATCCCTTTCCAGAAGACAATTATCGTAGCTTTTGAACTGGCAACGTGCGCAATTGCACTCGACCTCGACGGTTGGTTATTTCTGCTGCTGCTGCTGTTGTTGTTATTGAAATAATAACAACAATTTATAAAAAAAAAAAAAAAAAAAAAAACACCAACTAAAAGAAAAATGTCCTCAGTACATTCTATAATACTACTTACTCTACTCTCAAGTTGGTTATTTAAAAACAATTGTCCGATAATTTAAAAACGTCTTTTCTGCTCTCATAAACATTATAATAATATTTTCTTCATTATTATTTCTTATCCTCATAAAACTATTTTCATTGTTATTATCGCTATTATTATCATTACTATTATTACTTGTTATTTCTTGCTATAATTTTTTCATTTTATTTTTTTTAGTAACTTATTTTCTGGTGAACGGCTCACCTCTTCCACGAATCGCCGAAAATAATTGATGAGTGAGGCCATACGTTCTTATATGTATATATATATATAAACCCTATATATGTACTTCATACGTTCCATTTGAAACAAGCAAAGCGTAGAGGGCAATCTTCCACTTTTCTCTTCGTAGAATCGTTTTAGAAATAAGGAAAAAAACTTATTAAACTTGTGAGTTCGCCATGCTGTCCTCAACCCTATATTTCTACTTGCCTCCACACTACCTTATTTTTATTTCAATATATATATAGATGGATACGTATGCATATTTGTTTTTTATTTTCTTCATATTCTCTTTTATACTAACTTGTGTTATGTTATTATGTTATACCTTCTTCATATATTATATATTATTTCTCAGACTTAGGCATTATAAATACAGAAGATCAGTCGAGTAGAGAAGAGTAGAATAAGAAAAGAGTAAAGTACACATATTATACAGGAGGGCGAACACACGCACGCAACTAAATGCATCTCGATGCAGTCAATTGGCCGGAAATACAACTGACGACTTAATGACGTGAGAATACTGTATAGTAGACGATACGAACAAATAAAATTAGCCTTTAGTATGTAGGTATAGCATAAAAAAAAATTATTAGCCACCCGATTATTTTTTACCTGATAAAAACACCAACATTTTTATATGAATATGTATTTGTATTTGTATGTATGGAGATGATAGGTGTGCATGTCGATGTCTATATCATAAATTTATGTGCTATAAGCGTAAGACTTGAGAACATGTGCGCTGTTCTCGGAAAGCTCTAGATATATGTAATTTGTGACGATAAAGAGGTCGATCGACAGTCAGTGTAGTAAAGTCTTGATACGTTTTTTTAAGAAAAAAAAAAAAAAAAAAAAAAAAAAAACTGTTTTTACATATTTTTTTTTTCACGATTATTATATTACCTACTCTGTTCTAAGCCATTATTCCTACGTGTGCTTGCAGGTATAAAGATGATCGACCGTACCCTTGGCCAGGGGCATTCAGTCATTTTATTTTGTTCCCCGAGAGTGCCAATCAAACAATTTACACACGTGCTGCTAGAATTTCTGATGCTGGAATTTACTCATGCAGAGCCAGAAATGACACCGATACTTTATCTAGTGATATCACTTTAGGAATTGTTGGTATGTATAAATTTGTTATTATTATTGTTAAAAATAAGATTAGCTCAAAATATTTTGTTATTAACGATAAAAAAATATTTAATATTTTTTACTCTTAAAATAGTTTAAAGAGTTTGAATAAGTTTTAACCATGTTATGTGTTTTATCTTTAATCAGGAGAAGACTCAAGTGGTTACACGGGAAAGCCATTACCGACGTATAAACCAATATCTCAGTTAGTACCTCTCGGAGATGCGGCTCGACTCTTTTGCGAAGCTTACTTAGGCAAAGTTGATTTACCAGATGCTAAAAATTCAGTTACTTGGGCAAAGTCTGGCAGCAATATTACTTTTTTAAGTAGCGGAAGAATATCCAAGCATCGTGTATCGAGGTAATTATTATTTATTTTATTATTTAGTACACCTTGAGTGTATTTATTCTTGTGCGATCGGTTCTTTTGTCTCAACTTTTTTTTCTCAGCTTTTTTCATTTTTTATTAATTATAGTTTACTTCTCGAGGACAAATTTCTCGAGTCACTAGCAGGTGAGGGAGAGAGAACTCGACAAGAAGTTGGAAATCTCTCATCGGGCCAGTGCGCTCCGTCATTACACTAATGATAGCTTTGCTACGTTCTTCCGTTCCTCCGGTTATTTTATTTCTTCCTCTCCCCTTCCCGTTCTCCTCCTCCACCCTCTCTCTTTCTCTTCTTCACTTTTACAATCGTCCTGATGTTTTATTTTATTTGGTATTCTCTTTTGCAAGCATCTTCGCATCATCATTCTCCCTTAACCGCGTCTCTTCTCGTTTTTACTTTTTATTTATTTCTTCTTAAGCTCCTTTTTTTTTCTACATATTTTATTTTTTACTCCAAAATTCATTACATACTTGATCGAGATATAAAAGATTATAGTTAGTAATTGCTATGTATTTTTGTAAATTTATTACATCTATGTCTATATATTTATTTAAACTTTATTTTTATTTTTATTGTTATGTATAATTTATTAAAATATAATTCATTTAAATTATTATTGCCTACAGAGAAGACGATCAAATTGTTGGGGCTTACTTGGAAATTGAATCAACGATAGCAGAGGATTATGGCGAATATGAATGCCGAATCAGCAACGGCGCGGATGAGGAGATGACGCTATCAGCTTACATTTATCGTCGAGGTAATTATGTTCTTTTATTTTTAACAAAACTTCCTTCTACGCATTCAAAGAATAAGATAAAAATGAATTTACATTAAAACAATTATATTATGATAATCATTACAATTACAATTTTATTTTTATTTAAAAAAAAATTTTTTTTTTCTCGTTAAATAGAACCTCATTTTGACGTTGGTGCTCGCTCCGGCTCCTGGAGAAAAGCTCTGCTATTCGCTGTTCTTGGTCTCGTATTATTTGTCTCAATTGGAGCATTTTTCATTCGGTGCTGGCTACCAATGGCTGTCTTTTGTCGCAATGAATTTCAGTACAATGAAGAGAACGGTAAGTGAACTAAATATTTACGCTGTTATAAATGATTATAATTTAATAATAAAAAAAAATTTTTTTTTATAGATGGTACGGAATTCGATGCATTAGTGTGTTATCACGAAAAAGACGCAGCACTCGCGGTCAACACATTAATACCCACTTTAAAGACAAAACACCATTACAAATGTACAACACTTGAATTAACCCACATAACTCGTAATTGTGAGTATTTGGTGGTAAATTTTTAAAATTAAAAGTGAATTCATAAATTTTTACTAAATTTAATTTGATTGTTAGGGAATTTGGAAATCGGAGCAAATGCATCGTCTTCTCGCAGAGTAATCGTAATATTAAGTCCAAATGCTCTTCAAAATGAATGGACAGACACAACTGTAACTCAAGCACTGAAACAGCTGTCTCTAATATCAAACCAAGTTATAGTAATTATTTTAAATGAACTATCCAACGTCGCGACTTTTGCAAAGTCTACTGGACACTGTATTGATGCCGCTTGTGCAGACGGAATTGTCCTTGATAAAATGACTATACTGAGATGGAAAGTTGATTCCGAAAACGATACCGGCAGCTACAAATTCTGGTGCAGACTCAGATTGGCGTTACCTCCCGTGAGATCTGTATCTAAACAATCGTCTGCAGACTTTCAATCGCGGTGTCAATCTGTTGCTATGATCGTACAAAACAATACTAAATCGACACCGCAAAAGACTCAATCGCGTGAAAGCTTAGAGGTGCTCGTGTAAATGTTTTTTATACACTTTTTATGTCGTGTTTCATATTAAATATTTTTTTTACTTACTATAACATTGTAGATTCATTGTTATATTATTATTATAACAATTATTATTATTATTATTATTTTTTATGATTATTATAGTATTATGATACTTTTGTAAGACAGTAAAATTTTTTGTAAATATCAAAGTATAAGTGTAAGTGTTAGCGTATGATGTAAGTTTACTGCAAAAATTTTTTGTTTTATTTATTATTTAACTTCTGAAATTATTTATCTTATTAATGATTTAAATTTGAGTTATTCCTTATTATGAAGGGTAGAAAGTTGAAAAGTATTGAGTAATTTTCATAGTGATTAATATTCTATATTCTATAGAGCGAGAAAAAAACTGAAAATTAACTTTAAAAGGCTGTATTTTTTTTTTCTTAAATTTTTTGTTTCGCATTCAAGACAGACTTGAATATTCTAATAATTTAAGAATAGTTTTATGTTATACATCATATACGTCATCCAAATGAATTTAATTATTTCTTGTAAGTAAACATTATCTTACTGCCAGTATTATAAAAAAAACATTCATGTATACTACTAGTAAAGAAAAATGTGCTTAGACAAGATATTTAATTATATATAAATAGTCGATATAATTGTAAATTATAAAATAGTAGTTCATCAAAAAATGGAGCTAAATAATTCAAATGTTTGTCCGTTTTACAAAATAAAAGTAATCGTCCGTGTGGATTTATTAATGAGGATGAAAGTAAGATGTATAAATTATTATTTTAAATGAACTATAAGGCTCAATTGAAAATACTAATATTTTTAAAAAAGATTTTTGATTATAAAGGAAAAAAATACGTGAGTAAATAAACAAACACGAGTATTAGAAATGAGTGTTTGTAATATATTAGTAATTATTATAATATGTTTCTGTTATCATCTTTATTACTCTAGGCACTTGTACTTCAGAAATATTTTTCATTTATTATTTTTTTCTACCTATTTTTATCAAGTATTCTTATGAAATAAGATAGTTAATGAAATAAATTGAAATTTTAAATTACGAACGTTGATTATTTCATTTAGCACACGTTTCTTGGTATTATTTATGAATCACTTATTATCTAATTTATATAGTTACAAATAAAATGCCATTAAAATTACTTAAACACTAATATCTTTGAAAAAAAAAAATTCTTAGTCATTGAATTTTTAACAAATAAACATTTCGTAAATTACAATTATGGTATTTAATTTATATTAGTCTTACAATTTTTTTTCACTTTTATATGGACGAATTGACAAATTAATTATATGACAATAACAATATGGTTAATCGTTAAATTCAAATATAACTGCATATGTATACATATATTAACAGGAAATATAATTCATAACCACACTAACAGTAGCACCATACACAAATTCAACTATAAATCTCTAATTAGAAAAAGGCAATTCAAGTAAAAAAATCTAATAATCTTGCATTCTGAAATAAATTTAATATCTATGTTTTCAATTCAGTTCATTAAATATGAATTGTCTAAAAATATCTTGCGTATTTACTGTTTTGAATTGAATTGATTGGTGTATTTATTCATTTTTTATCTTGTTTTGAGAGTTAAGTACATGACTAATTGATTATCTAAACGAACCAAGAATTAAGTAAAATAAACTTAATTTTTATTAGAAATACGATTAAATATAATACTGAGTAATTAAATAATAGAGTAAATTTGTAAACAATTATTGACGTTTATCAAAATAGTCAAGCCACCGACTTTTATATGCAGCAAGTAAACAATAATAAATTTATGATTATTAACAAATTACTAAGTACAATTTATTCATTTTTTATCGTCATCTGTTAAGGCACGTTTAATATAGATTATTGTATCTATTTTTTTAGTATAAATATTTTTACAAAACGTCCTCAAATATGAAGTATAAATTCGTTATTGTTATCATTACTACCAATAATCATAACGATTTGTTGATTTCAAAAAAAAAAAAAAAAAAGATTACAAAATTAAATATCTAGAGTACAAACATTAGTATCAAAGTGTAGTTGTGACAGGTGGCTTACGCAGTTCATAATTCTGTTTGGCGACGTTTCTAAGTGCCTCAATCATTGTTGAGCCAGTTTCATGAACCATTTTAGATAAATATCCATTCTCGTTTTGAAGTAAAACATGTGGATGATCAAATTCCTGAAAGATAAATAAAAAATGAATTACCTTTATCATTAAAATAATAACTTACATTATAATGTGAGAGTAGAATTATGAAAAATGATAATGGCTGATAATTATTAAAATAAAAAATAATAATTACCACTGCTGATCCAGCATCCATGACTAATATCCTGTCGCTGTCCATGACGGTATTAAGTCGATGTGCAATGGTAAGTACGGTACAATCGTTAAATTTACGTCTAATAGCCTTCTGAATAAACTCATCTGTCCGTGGATCAACATTGGCTGTCGCCTCATCGAGTACAAGAACTTTATTATTTCTTACAATAGCACGTGCAAGACAAACTAGTTGTCGTTGGCCTACACTTAAATTAGAACCTCCTTCATTGACATGACCCTCAAGACCCATTTCTTTCAGTTCTACATCTTCCAACGCTGACCACAGAATACTATCAGGATACTGTTCAAAAGGATCGAGATTTCTTCTCAATGTACCGGAGAACAAAAACGGTTCCTGAGGAATTATACTTATTTTGGCACGGAAATCATGGAGTCCAATTTTACCGGTATCTATACCATCGATCTCAATGTTTCCCTCAATGTCAGCAAGACGGAATAAAGCTGATATCAGAGAAGATTTTCCAGCTCCGGTGCGTCCGACAATTCCTATCTTTTCACGCGGTTCAATAGTAAAGTTGAGATTCTTGAGTACGGGTGGTTCTAGCGGTGAATAAGACAAATAAACATTTTTGAATTCAACTTTACCTCTAGGTGGCCAGTCATCTTTAGGCTTCTTATCTGGCAAACTTTCAAGGGCAGGTTCGCTTTCAATATTTGTGTACTCAAGTACACGCTCTACTGAAGTCATTTGATTCTCTACCTCGGCACTCTGCCTCATTCCCCACTGGAACATCCCAGTTAATCCGATGCTCTGAGTTATTGCTAAACCAACATCACCACCTTTGAACCCTTTATTTTCACCGTCAGATAAAACTAAAAAGCTTATTGTCACACAGGCTATGTAAATAAGGCAAAATATATCAAGCCAGAAGCCAAAGGCACGAGATGATGCAATAAAAATATACCACGCAGATGAATGAAGATCTTGATGGTGATCAAACTCTTTAGTCAAAATTTCTTCTGCATCAAAGGAACGTATTGTCGGTAGACCCTGTAGTGTTGCGCTTAAATGATTAAATACTGGTGATCTTGTGATACCTTCCAGTCGTTTGATACTACGACTTGTTGATAAATAAATTACTCTTAATCCATAAAATATAACACCAATTATAACTGTCGGTACCAGTAGCCATTTTTCTGCACTACTAACAACGACAATTATTCCAATAAGTGACAGACCTATTTGAATACAATCAATCATGGCGATAGGCAGTAGTTCATCAATAGCACCCATATCTTTAGAGAAACGATTCAAAACACGTCCCGATGTGTTTGTGTTGAAAAACCTCATTGTTGCACGGCTGATACTACGAAACATTTTATCATGTAAGCGCTTAGAAGCACGTACGCATAGTTCAAAGAATGCAAATGATCGTACAAGCGTTATCACTACTGTCATCACTGTCAATGCACTGAAAATGTATATGCATATATATCTATCCTGTTCTGATAAGCCAGACGTTCTTTCTTCGTTCGGTTGACTGGCATTTCGGAATAAACCACTGAAAGTAAAATTTTGACTGTTGTCTTGCTCCAAATTTACCCAAAACGCTATAAAATAATCTCCTCCACTTGCTGCTAATTGAGCTCCCACGTACAACATCAATACTGTCAGAACAACGCAGCAATTTCCGCCAGCTTTGAAATATGAACTGTAAACATGTCCTCCAATAGTTCCTCTCGTACGCGTCTCAGCAACTTCCTCAGGTTCAGCTTGGCCTTGACCCGTAGTTTCGTTAGTCATGAATGAACTTAAGGATGTGACACTTGCATGTCGAGAACTACTACGGCTTCTTGATAGAGGCAGAGATCCTTCTGTCTCCTCTTTTTGTGTAGACTCGAGTAATCGACCGAAATCGACTCCCATTTCGACTAACTTATTGTAACTACCCTCTGCAATAATAGCACCATCCTTCATAACAATTATCTTCTCGACGTTATTCAAAAATTGTATCTGATGAGTGACAAGTATTCTAGTTTTTCCATGTAAGTACTTTTCAATGCACTCTTCGAACATATGTTTACCGACATGAGCATCTACTGCACTCAGCGGATCGTCTAGCAAGAACAGCGGTACATCAGAGTAAACAGCTCGAGCTAAATTGATACGAGCTCTCTGTCCACCAGATAAACTCACCCCGCGTTCGCCGACGATAGTTTTATCTCCGTACGGAAACAGTGAGAAATCTCGCCTCAGCTGGCATACTTTGACAACTTTATCGTATTTTTTAGCGTCCCATGGTCGTCCGAAAAGTATATTCTGACGCACTGAGCCAACAAACAGCCAGGGTTCTTGACTTGCATAAGCAATTTTACCATTCACATCAACAGTACCCTCGTGAGCTGGAAGTTCTTTGAGAATGGCATTGAGTAGACTCGTTTTACCCGAACCAACTTGCCCTACTACGGCTACTAATTGACCTGGTTTAATACTTAAATTAATTCCTTTTAATGTATCTTCATTGTCTGAATCCAACCATTTGGCGTATATATTATCGAGTGTTACAGATCCATCATCAATTTTAATCAGCGGTTCATTTTCTTTTTCCTTATCATTGGAATTATTTTTTTGTCCATTCTTATTTGATTTATTTTTACTATTATTTTGATTTTCATAATCACGATCATTATTACTAACCTCGATTTCTTCGTACAACAAAAAATTTTGAAGACGTTTTATTGATACGGAAGCTTCGGCAACTTGTGTAATACCTTGTGGGAAGAATACCGTCATAGTTTGACGTAAAATATTATAGTATGCTGTTAACATAAATACTGTCTCAGCAGTTATTTGCTTGTTAGATAGTACATAAGCCAGTATCGTGAGGAACAGTGATAAACGTGTCGTAAACATTATGAAAGACATGATAACGCCTCTTATGTACGACGTATATCTTACAACACGCATTTCTCTCTTTCGTGCATTCTCAATAAGATTACTGAATGGATGCTCCCATGTATACATTTTGATGGCTTGAATTCCGCTGATTATTTCATTTGTCAAACGTACTCTCTCATCAGTCCGAATAGCTGTGCGTAGACGAAGTGTTGACGATTTCTTCCCCAAAAATCCTTGGAGAGGGATAAACATCAATAGTGACGCTACTCCAATTATTGCGGCAACACCGACCTCTAGATACATTAAATAAGTAATAATAATAGTCTCAACAGGTCCTATCCATAGATAGTGAATAAATATCACAGCGACGTCAAATCTGTTGACGTCATTTGACAGAAGATTAACTGCTTGGCCTACGGTTGTCTCGCCTAAAGCCGTTCTCGATAACTTCAATGACTTACGATAGATCAGTGAGCAGCAAGCCACACGTAATTTCATACCCATGTGAAGAATTGCCATCATGTACGGGTGAGCTACGAGAATGTTTATGGCTGAACACAATATCACACCACCGGCGTAGAGAAATGCTTCTGATTTAGTTACATCTGATGTTGTAAAGAAGCGAAGCAGCCTTGCTAGCGCTATTGGTTGTAACATCCTGTAAAAATAAGTTTCATTTTACAAATGTATCAATTAAAACGATAAATACTAAAGTAAAATTTCATCAAAAGTAATTTGTTAAGTTATAACGAATGATTGTTGATAATGAGGATGTTAACAAATAATAAATAATTTGATAAAGAATAGGAAAATAAAGGAACATTCTTAGGATGATTGGAGACATTTTCGGTATCTCGGATCTTGATGGAACTACCGAGTGTTAAGGAAGTATGAATTGGAATGTATGACACTTTTGTTGGTCGATAATAACTGATCAACATACCAAGGAGAATGGGTTGCAGTAATCTGTATGCAATCATTTAAAATTAACTTTCAGTAAATCAACTTTGTTAATTAAAATAAAAGCTTACCGTAGAACGAGTTCCATTATAGCTAACGCGACTCCATAGAGAGCAATACGAGCACCAAAAACTTTAATTAATGCCCTTTTTAGACTAGGAGTCTTGCCTTTTTTATGCTTGGCCTTTACATCGCCAAGCGATATGTCCGGTTCTTTTTTAGATTTTACATTTTTATTGTAATCTCGAACTTCTGAATCCCATGCCGCTGCTAATTTATCACCTAGTATACTACTTTTGTGCTCTTTCAATGGCCTGTGAAGATCACTCACTTCTAAATCACGTTTGTATCCTTTCCAGAAAATTTTTAAAACCCATCTGAAAAATATTAAAGTATTTAAATCACTTAATAATTTAGAAAAAAAAATTAATTACAATAATTATTAATTAAATACTCACGAGAATGTTAATGCATTCAAAGGGTTAATACCTTCTCGTGGATTTTTTTTCTTCTCGATATCAACTTTTGAATCCATTTTACAATATTTTTATCAATAAAATATCTATATACACTTTAATCACAATTTACCACAGCCAATTAACTCGACAATTATCTGTAACATAAAAAAAACACTAATAATAAACATTGTAATTAAATGATTATAAATATCTTTCATGAATTAAACTGTCATACATTTGATTAAATTACCACAACTAAACTTATCAATTAATGTAAAGTATTAAATTGCTTATTATACTACTTTATTATTTATCTTGTCAATTAATTATTATACATATGATTAAGTATTCAATAATATTTATCAAAAATTGTTAACAAATTATCATAATATTTTTAACAGCAAATGATTTAACTTAAATTCAAAGAACAATACCGAGTTAACTGACTTTTTTGTTCTTGAATCGTCGATGAACGTACACTGACTCAGAAGCAATTGAAATAAAATATTCAAGATGGGTAAAATTACTGAGACCTAGGAATCGTGTGTCGACAAACTTGATAACTACTAAGGGCAATTAAACCATCATTACTTGGTATTTAATTCATATTTACACAGATAAAAAAAAGCACAGACGTTAAATTATGAAAAGTTGATAAGAATTTCTAGATTACTATCTAAGATACTGTAAAGACTATTTCTTTCTAACACTTGTATTTATAAAGATTATTTTCTTCTATTTAAAAAAAAAAAATTTGTTTGTTTGTTTACTTGTTTATTGTACATAGCATTAAATAGATCAATGACAATTTTCTATTTGTTATTATTGGATTAAAGTGTTCTGTAAATTTGTCTTATTTATTTATTAATTAAACCAACATGGTAATAAATAAATAATCTCGTTAAATCATTTTGTTTCTCAAGGCAACAAAAAAAAAAACACTTGGCTATTTCTCACATATTGTTGATGTCATTTAATCAATTAAAAATATACGGTAATCAATCAAATTATTTAAGAGTAAAAAATGTATATCTAAGTAACAATATGCATTTAATATACAATTACTGAGACAGTAAATTTATAAAATTTAGCAATTATGTAATCAACTTAATGACAAGTATTTTTCACTAGAAAAAAATTATTAACTATAATGACTCAAAGGGAAATACATCTCTTATATAAAAAATTAAAATAAAATCAAATAGTTTTTCAACTTTCATATTTGTAATCATAATAATTTTTAAAAATGTAGACAGCAATGCACGCTTATCATGAGTTAAAATTATAATTTAATCTATGAAAAATAAATGCCACATTAAGTTACAATAATAAGCAGTAAGTAAAAATAAGCTAGCGCATGACTGTCATATCGTACTTGAGTTATTAACAGTGATAAACAAAGAATGTAGAAAACTTAAATTAATTTTAAACTCTACAAAAATAAAAAAATAAAAAAAAAATACAGTAGGCTTTAGTTAAAATTTTTTGGAATTAAATTAAAAAAAATAGTACAATGTTTGCGTCATGCAAATAATGATAAGCACTGAATTGACAATGAGAAATATATAAATAAAAGTGTATATGGCGATAAATGAAAAAATCGGATAAGTAAATATACTTGACGATATTTTTTACTGTAAATTTATAGTAATGAAAAACCAGCCATGGCTCCGCTCACCTCGTGCAATTTTTTCAGCATTGAAATCAGTTGATTTTAATTTTCTCAATTATTTCAAGATAAATAAGTATCTGGAAAAAATAAAATTAAATTAGTACAGAGTAAATTGAGAATGAGCATGTGAATTGAGCTCTATCGTGTACAACACGACAACTGAATCACTTGCGTATGAGTACATTGGTTAGCCCCAAACAGTACACAAATAAACACGTGATCTGAGCAGGATTATGTCGATGCGATCAAATGAATTGAAGAATGGTGAACAGTGCGTTGAACAGTAAATTTATATTTTACATTTTTAAAGTTTTATGAGCTAAGCGCTCGTCTAAAGCCTTGGGTACGCAAAGATCAACGGTCATACCATTAAATATGTCCACACATGAAACAAGTGTACGTATTATTGTTTAGAACACACAAGTGTGCGTACTTTTGTTAATTTATCTTTGTCTGAATGATTTAAATCATTCAGTAAGTTGTGTATGTTAAATACTTATACTTACTCTATTTTTGTGTTTGACACTTTGTCTCATTCTTGTGTACGGCTAAATGTGCATGTGTGTATGTACATACCCAATTATCGGTATGTTACGACACTTGCTCCAATTACATATTCGGTCTCGTCCTCGTGAGATCTAATGACCAAAGTATTTACAAAATACACATGTCAAATAAATGTATTTTTTATTAACAATATTTCCATCAGTAATTATAATTTATCATTATTTTAATATGTGTAAACATAATTATAATTATATTATTTTTATCAGCTTAATAACAATTATTGTTTATTTGACAGGTTTTGGCAATTTTTTTTTTTGTTTTTTTTAATTGAAATAATAAAGAGGGCGGCTCAAGCAGGACTTACTCTGTCGATATTGCAATTTAACATGGCGTTTATTTTGATTCAAATGAAACTACGGATTAAGGGTAAGCCGTAGTAAATGTACTTTCAGAAATTTTATTTTTCTAATTACGTCTAAATGAGTATAAAGAATTTATTCGCAGTACATTATGCAATATTTGATGAATTTTTAATGAAAGAATTTAATTTATTGATGGTTCCACCTGTCTAAAGTTAAATATTTGAATTTTTCATAAGCACTGATAATTCTTCGAAATTATATAACTGCTGGGAAAAAATATTGAGAAGTTTAAATTTCCCGCCAAGCAGCGCCATCTATAAGGATTTTGTTCAAGAATGTGATGCACCCAGTGCATCCAACAGGTGACGCTACCTGTTATTAGAGCGCTATCTATTATGAGAGCGCGAATTCAAACGAAATATTGAAACTAGTAAATATTAAATGATTAAAATTAGTTAAATTTTATATTCGAAGTAAATATTCCAGTCCTTTATTTAATGCTTTTACTCTTACCAGTTGTAAAATAAACATCTTTTGGTTAACTCTGTTTTATTTACAAAAGAAAATAAAATAAAATAAAAAAAAAACATATTTCGGTACAAAGGTACATTGTAACCAAATTTTCAAAACCCATAAAAAGTGCTTGAGTAATTCAAGGACTTTCTCGCCAGATGAAACTTAAAACCCTATGAGGAAAAGTCGTAAAAGACACGTGTGAAATCAATAGACCCTTGTTCTAAAGTAACAAAGAATAATAAAAAAAACATATGTAACTAAACAAAAATAATATTGTTAAATAACATTTACTGTTAAAATCTAACTTTATATAATATTGTAGTTAAGCAAAATTGAGTTAAAATAATTAATAATTAGTATCTTATATTTAATTTATAACTAATAATTATTAGTTAACTAATTTACTATTAAATCATTATCTAATTATTATTTAATTTATAATTAAATAATAATATCTATTCTTTTATACAGGATAATAATTAAAATGACTTATAATTTTATTAGAAAACTCGAATGTAAAATGATAGAAATAATATTTAATCCAAATTATTAATTATTCAAACTCAAACATTAGTCCAACATATTATAAATAATATAATATATATAGTTTCATGTTATAGTTTATTATAATTTTATTGTAACTTAATTTCAAGTTAATTATAAGTTAATTTTATTATAAATAGATTTTAAAAAGGGTTTGTTAAATTAATAAGAATAGTTGAATAAACATAATGACTGTATTGCTAAAAGTATATATAAGTGAAGTCCAACTTTCAGGCCGATAGGCTGAAGTAAATATATATAGATATAGAGAAAATACATGTTAGTGTATAAGGATCATTAGTATATATAAGTGAAGGCCAACTTTCAGGCCGATCGGCTGAAGTAAATATATATAGATATAGAGAAAATACATGTTAGTGTATAAGGATCATTTATATGTAGTAGAAAATGTATGTATTTATATATTCCTTAGAGTGGATGTATGTGTGGAAGTTATGGTGGGAGAAGAACGGAGTTTGAAGATCTTCGGAAAAACTATGTAACGACACTTCTCATCGAGAGATTAGATTGCTAAGATCACGTCATTGTAAACCTCAATTTTATATTTTGAAGCTTTTAATATTTTGTCAACTCGAATAATAAATTGGAACCAACTAAATAATTTTGATCAAAATTAAATTACGTCTAAATAGAATTCTTTTATTTAAAATTATTCCTTTCCCGCACTGAAACCGAGTATTTTAATACTCCCGGGCGAAAGAACTACAGTAAGTAAAGTTTTAAATAAATAAAAATAACATCCACTAGATGGAAGCATAACAAGAATATTGTGAGGTTTTCATCGAATGTTGCAGTAGCGACACACATACTGAAGTCTCTTATAGTGGCAGTCGAAAGTAGCGCGTATTGCGAAAAAAAAATAAATAAAAAAAAAAATTGGTCCAATCCAGACTTAGTCAGTATGACTTCACATGTGTTCGGAATGTTAATAGTGCATACAACTGTAGACACGTACTTAACGTTGACGCATACATGCTCACATCTTATCAAATTCATTGTGAATCAAAGATCATTTCAACTACCGAAGTTCACCCATTAACAGTTACTCGCTAAAAAATAATACCCAGTATCACTTAGGATATTTAATTAAATTATCTTTTTTGTTCAAATAACTGACGCTCCGATTTAATAATATTTTTTCTTGTAGCATTTGATAACAATTAATATACTCCAAGATTTTTTAGTTTGTCAGAACGTGTCAAACGAATGCCGATAGTGGCATTGTTAAATGATAATTGATAATTCAGAATGGCAACTCCCACAAACAACCGGAAACCTGGAGTTATAATCTTAGGAGGTAACTTACATATGTATTTATTATTTTTCGAAATTTTTTTATTATCACATTAATATCTATATATGACTCGTTTATATTTAACTCTGTAAAGAATATGTTGAATGATATTTTTCTTACAGGATGTGGTTTCATTGGAAGGAACCTTGCGGCTTACCTGGTAGAAAAAGAACTAGTTTCTTACATTCGAATAGTAGATAAAGTACCTCCACAAACTGCTTGGCTTAATAAAAAACACCAATTAATATTTGAGAATCCAATAATTGAATTCAAAAGTGCTAATCTAATCAACCCTGGTAGGGTATTCAACTTATAAATAATTTAGCTAGCTAAGACAGTCATTTATTGAATCAATTGAATCAATACTAATGTAATGTATTTTTTAGTTTCATGTCAAAATGCTTTTGTTGCTGATGTCCCGATTGATTATGTTTTCAATTGTGCGGGAGAAACTAAGAGCGGCCAAACAGATCCTGTGTACCGAGAAGGTATTTATAAATTGAGCATCAATTGTGCTCAACATGCTGCAAAACTTGGTGTCAAACGGTTTGTCGAAATTTCGACGGGTAATATGAGCTCATCGGAAAAGGTAATATTAATTAATGAAACGAAGGTTTAGCTTACTTTTTTTTACTAAAAATTTCGTCAATATTCTAATTCTGTGCTAAATCAACGAATTAAAAAATTGAACACTCTGAGTCAGTTAATATTTTTCCATATTTTTTATACTTCTTGAAGAAAATTTCATGAGTTTTTTTTTTTTTAGTATAACCAACTCTATTTTTCGTGACGAAAATTTTAATATCCGTTATACTAAAGTCAACAATATCACAGGAACTCCAAAATGTCATTGCGCTATCTCAAACATAGATAAACATCTGGCACTGACAGTGATTTTTTACTTTAATGATTAATTTTTTTATAAAATATTCAAATTAAAATATATATTAATGTATATAAAAATTTCTTTTTACACGATATACTTTTAATTTAACAAAAGTTCTTTATCAATAAACATATATGATAATCTCGTATATAATAATAAAACTATTCATAAATCTTATAATTGTATTTTTACTATAAATTTAATCAAATTATATAATTTTAGGCTCCCCACAAAGAAGATGACCCAACAGATCCATGGACATTTATTGCTAAGCATAAACTACAAGTAGAAAATGATTTAAAAAACATTCCAGGACTTAAATACACAATACTCCGTCCAGCAATTGTTTACGGAATAGCTGATAAGAGTGGTCTAGGTAATATAAGTTATTTTAAATTTAATCAAACACTATTTACATAAGTAAACTTTTTTGAATGGTTTATCACTAAATAAGTATGTAATTTATCAGCTCCGCGTCTGGTCGTTGGTGCTGTTTACAAACATTTAGGAGAAATGATGAAGTTACTGTGGGGACCAAGTCTTCACATGAATACAGTTCATATTATTGATGTTGCTAGAGCATTATGGCACGTAGCTATCAGAGATGACACTATTAGTCAGGTTTATAATGTGGTTGATGAAGATGATTCAACCCAAGGTTCTATAAGTGCTATGGTTTCAGAGTTATTTAATATTAACCATGACTATTGGGGTAATACACTTTCTACGTTGGCAAAGGTAATTTTTATTGAGTAAATTTTTGAAAAATAGTCAATAAGTAAGTTAATTTAATTAATTTTGAATAGACGGATATGAGTACAGTTGTTGAAGAAGTTAATGATAAACACATGGGTCCGTGGGCAGAAGCTTGTAATAAGGATGGTATAGAAAATAGTCCTTTGTCGCCATACATTGATCAAGAGTTGCTTTACAACAAACATCTCTACTTATATAATGGAAAGCTGTTAAAAACTGGGTTTAATTACAACTATCCAAAAGTTACCAAGGAATTATTAAAAGAGGTATTATCTGAAAAATATTCTAAACTCGGTTTGTTTTAAAAGTCATCCGCTAAAGTGTTTAGCATTCAAAATTAAACTGACAAGCTTAAGAATATTTTTTTTTTCCAAGTATAAATTTATAACAATTTTAATATTCATCATAGCTTTCGATGATTAACTTTTGAAACACTTATCATAAAGATTTTTTGTCGCAATTTTCATTGAATAATTTTTTTATTTCAGATTCTCGATGACTATGTAACGATGAAAATCTTTCCACATTCTCTAATGCTGTAAAGACTAGATAAACTGCCAATGCTCGATGATGCAATAATGACTATTCCAATAAGGCCTAGAATTATAAATTTTAGATCCTTATGTCTGTCAAAAAGATATGAATTTTCACCTCGTGCCTAATATTTTAGCTGATTTATACATTAGACTAATGCGTTATGTACTTCATTGATATTTGGCAATTTATTGATATTTTTTCATCAATTATTATTGTAAATGACTCAATTTAAAAAAGACATCACGTTGCTAAAAATTAACAAAACTTTAACTCAACATATAATAAGTAATTTATTAAAATTTATTAGGTAATATTAGATGAAATGAAATGATTTTCATAATAAAATGTTTACTAGAAGTCAATGTCAATCTAATAAATATGAAGAGTCTGCTACTGTATTGTGATAAACAGAGGAACGCACGTACTTAACATTCATCGCCTCAAAATTCGATAGATTTAATTAATCTAGTCAAGAGGCCGAAAAAATGAGTTTAATGAATTTGATAATTTAAAATGACATGACATTCAGTGTAGGCAAAATAATATCAGTCTATCTAATTTTTTTAGATAATAATATAGATTCTAAGTGCTATTTGCACAATTTCTTAAATAGTGTATTAAGAATATACAAAGTCGTTTTTTTAAAACTTTGTAGACATTTTATAAAGATAATTTACTTAGCATTCCAATTTTTAGATGAAATACTTTTAACGTGATTTAATAGGTTTATTGACGATATGAAATGCGGAAAAAAAATATTAAAAAATTGAGTGAGTACAAATATTTTTATTAATCATGATTAAATTGTTACTAAAATTAATGTAATGAAATTTTTGCTGTTGTTACATCGCTAAATTAAAATTGTATTGAAAATATTAGAATATTACATAAAAGTTAAACAAGCAATACGTATAATTAAATCGAACTGACAGACAAACTTTCCATATAAAAATTATTGTACTATTTATTAAACGTGGTATGCTACCATATTTTGATAATAAATTTGCTCATAGATCGATAAAGTTTCATTCATTATTTTTTCAATCAATCATTTCAAATAATCATATGTGAGTCTATATATGATCAAATCTGATTATATATGTCTATATATAATTAGATCTGATCATACCTAGCTGTGATAACCCCATATATAACCATTTATAAGTCTACATATAATTAGATATGATCATACCCGGCTATTATAGCTCCATTTATAGACATATATAAGTCTATACATAATCAGATCTGATAATATTTATAATTCCCAAATTTTCAAATAACTTTAATACTACATGAATAAATAACTGAAAATTACATTTCATGATAAATTGATAAATCATACACAAAAG